TATCAATGCATAGCTGAAGAGACTGACATACAGTCATTAAGCAGATACGGCTCCAACCCCATCACGAACCGGTGAACCCGATCCTCCATCTTAGCTACAATAGTGGGAGCATACCTAGCCAAAGAATCAAACTGAAGGTTGCACTCCCGAATACTCATATTACCCTGCCGAAGGGTCAAGAATCTATCAACTCTAGCCCGTCTAAGCTCTGGTGGCAAATAATGACGAAGAAAAGCCTCTATAAACTCCCGCCATACTGCTGGAAGGGCATCCTCACCTCTGGACAACTCCCAAGACTCGTACCAATTAACTGCAACATCTTGAAGTCTATAGGAAGCTAGCTCAACTGACTCAGTCGTAGTGGCCTTCATTACCCTTAAAGTTCTCTACATCCTATCAATAAATACTTGAGGGTCCTCGTTTGGATCTGATCCAGTGAACACGGGAGGGTCCAAATTAATGAAATCACGAGCCCTCGCACCGATGGCCCTATCTGCATGACCAATACCTACCTCCTAGCGCCGAGCCTGTGCAGCGACTAATCGAGTCAATAGTTGAATAACATCTCCTCATCTGCTGACCCGGTGCATCTGGTTGAGGAGTTGGGGGTACTGGGGCGGGCGCTGGAGCTGGTGCCCCTCGGATCTCCTCTGGAGAGGGTAGGGTATGTGAATTCTGAGATGGATTCTCACTATGCGACTCTTACCGAGCCTTGGTAACTCGTGGCACTCGACTTGTAGTCTCATCATCCACGGACTTGCCCTTCTCTGCGGCTGTAGCCTTCTTGGGCATCGCTGAAAACATAACATATCGTTAGGAAAATGAATTTATATATCGCACGATCTAAGATAAGAAGGGAGGAAAACATCCTATATGTCCTGTAGCCTCATATTTATAAGCGTGGTAAACGGCACACTCATAAACAAGACTCTACTAGACACGGTCTGTAGACATCCCTAGGATGGAACTGCTTTGATACCACTTTTGTCACAACCCAAACCGATGGGCCATGACGAGTGCTCGAGTTCTACCTGCCGAACACCCCTAAGCATACGTCCAAGATATAGACATGAAATAAGTGTACGTCATGCATAACATCTATCAATAAACTACTGATTCATGTGAATAACATACGCGGGAAAACATGCCCAAAAGACATATGTACATATATATACGGAGTACGGTAGGGCGAGCTGACAAGGCCACATATTATTCAACTATACATGACTGTCTACGGACCTATAATACAGTGTACAACTACATAAAGGATGGGACTAGGCCCCGTCGTACCCATATATGTATATAAAAGTATTGTACCAAAATCCAACAGCAGCTTCAGATCAAATGGAGCACACCAACTCTCGCTGAGCAAGGATCCTAAGAAGGGGGACCGTCAGCTTGTCTACCTGCACCTGCGGGCATGAAACTCAGGCCCCCAGACAATAGGGGCGTTAGTACGAATAATGTACCGAGTACGTAAGGCATAAAAATCAGTATATAAAAGACATGAAAGAACCATGGAGTAAAGGACTCAACCTATAAGTCTGAATAGCTCTGTGAATCATGAAACATTTATAATGTCATGCATATGCGTATAAATGACATATCGTGCAAGGGTATATGCGTACATAACATCATCAAGCCTTTGAGGGCAACCCATTATATCATTTCGGCCTTAGCGGGAGAAATCATCAACGTATGCCAACTAATCAGGTGGTGGTGCGTATATAATGTCATAACCTTCGCCCATACCCATATACATATACTATACGCGTATATAACGCCATCTGGTCATGGGTCAAGTTCAAGTATTTGGATTTCAAGATTCCCAAGACTCCAACTGATGTGAGTTATGCACTTCAAAAGAATGAAGGTGAAAGTGACTCACAACTGGACTATGCAAGAGTATTGGGAATTTTGATGTATATCATGAATTGTACGCGACCAGATATAGCATGTGCTATTAGCAAACTGAGTCGGTTTACAAGTAACCTCAATCAAATACACTGGATGGCAATGAAACGAGTTTTGGGGTATCTGAACCATACCCAAAATTATGCTTTGCATTATAACAAATATCCTTCCGTGATTGAGGGATATAGTAATGCAAATTGGATCACCGGATCATTTGAAGTTAAATCCACGAGTGGATATGTTTTCACAATTGTGGGTAGAGCAGTGTCTTGGAAATCATCCAAACAAACAAGCATTGCGCGTTCTACAATGGAATCTGAATTCATAGCTTTAGATAAGGCCGGTGAAGAAGCTGAATGGCTCCGGAATTTCTTGGAAGATATTCCATTTTGGCCCAAAACTTTGGCACCTATTAGTATACATTGTGATAGTCAAGCGGCAATAGGCAGGGCAGGGAGCGTTATGTATAACAAAAAATCTCATCATATATGACGGAGACACAATACTGTTAGACAACTACTCTCTAGTGGTGTTATCACGATTGACTACGTAAAGTCAAGAGATAACGTGTCGGATCCAGTTACAAAAGGCCTATCTAGAGAGGCAGTTGAAAGATCATCAAAGGGAATGGGGTTAAGGTCTAGGACAAGTCATCATGGCGGTAACTTTACCTAGCGGGCTGGAGATCCCACGAGCTAGGTTCAAAGAGATTAAACAAAGTTATGAATGACGGTTCAACATTGTCAAATAACTCAACCCATTCTCGTGATGAAGACAATGTTCATAAATCGAGGTAAAGCATAAAGGTTTTTTGATGAGTTAATAAAGCTTAAAGTTTTTTAATAATTTGCTAAGTCTGACAGGATATGACCAGATAGTGTGTCTATAGGATTACACGTTTAGAAATCAACTATGTGAGTGTGAAGTGTAAGCCGCTTCAAGGGGAATGAAAGTAAAGGCCCATTTTCTAAGCACTCATTAAATCAGGCGGTGTTTATGGCTGAAACGAACACAACCGTGAGAACCATAGATGGTTAAGGATTGATTGTGTGACTTATGTTGTCTAGGTATACAACAAAGCTCGTCGCTTCAAAGATATCAAATCTACCGATTGACCGAGTATATCGGACATAAGTTCACTACGGAAAGTTCAAAGGGAAACCTACTTATCCATATGCAATTAATTCGTACATGTAAAATACACACGCGTCCGTGCATTCCTTTATTTATAGCCATTCCCCATTCACGTGGGGGATTGTTGGGCTTTTAAGCTTGATGTAGCTTAAAGAGGGTGAATGGGAAATGGAGGAAAAATGAAATATTTGAGTTTCCCTCCTTGGCAAAGGGACATTGTCCCATATTGGAGGAAAAAAAGACTTTTGATGGGTATATATACAATTGCTCTTCTTCTAGCTCTTAAAGAGTTAAGAAGAAGGCAAGTCTCGCGCCGTCATCGTCGCTCGCTCGCTCGACTTCAAATTTGGATTTGGATTTGGCCAAAGATCGATTGATTGATTAATCTTTTTGGACAAAATTCCTTTCAATTATTTAATTAATTAACGAAAATTCAATCCGGAATAACCCATGACCCGCGACCCGGTCCGGTCCAGTCTGTTTTCTTTCACGGATTATTTTAAAAATCCGTTTTTGTTTTTCCCGCAATGTTTCTTCCCACTTGTTCCAACAGCTATGGTTGTTTTTGAAAGGTTGCAAACCTTTTCAGAAACAGTGCCAAATAGTCTATAAATATGCCCTGAATGCCAAAATCTTTACTTACTAAATTTTCTGATTATCTTCTTCTTCTTCTGCACAATATTTTCAGTGTGTTTTATGACCATTGAGTGGTTCGAAGTTCACCGGAGTTTTTGGTACCAATACACTGGTGAGTTAAATCGTTCTATCCTGGGAGGACATATTCCAGCACCTTGGGTACTTGAGGGGAATAATTTTCTTAAGGACGCACTGTGTATTCAGTGGGCTCGATTTATTCCTATACTGTTTTTCCAGAATTTATTTCGTTAAACTGGTCCTACTAACTTTCTGTTTCTGTTTCTATTTCAGAAAGTTTAACATTTTTTATTGGTTATTACAGCAATACAGATTGAATAACATATAACACATATTAAACTCCCTTTATCGAGAAATTTTTTCACTGCTTTTAAATTTGAACACCCTTAAAAAAATTCCTAATTTCGCTACAGGTTTTAAGTGCCTGATGTTTAAGACAAACTATATTTTACCACCAAGGATGTGGGGATGGATGGCATCTCTATCCTTAAATGTATATTTAGAGTTCGAGTATAAAAATAGAGAAACTTTCGATAGTGAACTTTTCCCTTTTAATGAGTCTTATGCAGCTCTCAACCAAACACAAAAGAATAATATTTGCACTTAAATCATATATCTAAGAATTTTTACTCCATAATCGTGTTTAGAACAACTTGCAATCACAGTATCCAAAGGCGTGATCTAATAATCACGAAGTGAGTGATCTAATAATCAAGAAGCGAGTTGAGAATCATAATATCTCATGTTCAAATTCGATCGAAGACAAAAAATTGCTGGATAATTTCTTCTAGGTATATTTTTTTATTCTTAGCTCGTTCGTACTATCTTTCTGGTTATGTTGTTGTTATTATTTTATTGCCGCTTTTCATCTTCTTGTGTCTGCGTACACACTACCCTTGTGTGATTATATTGGGTGGTTGTTGTTGTAATTTCTTCCGATCTATTGTACATCCTTTCCATTGTCTGTTGCCCAACCCCTACAAGTACAAAAGAAATGTAGCAAAAGAAGAATTTGGTGGAATTCATGGTCCAGATGTCTACTGCGATAGCGAAGTGCGAGAAAAAGCAGCTCACAGACAGAAAACGACAAATTCATTTTAGACGTCAATACCCCTATGATTTTATCTTTTTTTTTCCTTATGAGTTTACCTAGTAGTATTCAAATATTCCAAATTCCAAATAAACCACGTGAATGAAAACCTCTCTCCCTCTAATAAAACTGAATTTTTCTCCATTTAGAAGGTTCAAGGAAGCTCAAAATCCCCTCAGAAAAATCTAACAATTTATCAACAAACAAATTTTAAATCATTTAATCATGTTCCTCTCCCACCCGTGCATGCACCATTTCTCATATAAATACCCCTTCTCCCCTTTCATCAAGAAATCTCACAACTTTCTCTCTGCTCTCTCTGTTTTTTCTACTACTAAAAATTCACTTTTCAACCACACAAAATTTACAAACCCACAACCAATATTCAAGAAAATTATTAAAGATGTATGCGAATTGTGAAGTAGACAATGATTTTGCAATTCTTGAATCAATTAGGCTTCACTTACTTGAAGACTGGGAAGCTCCATTAACAAGCTCCGACAACTCAACAACCTCGGATTTAAGCCGAAGCAACAGCATTGAGTCCAACATGTTTCCTAATTGCTTGCCCAATGAATTTGATTATACAGCTGATATGTTTTTTAACGATATCTTTAATGAAGGCATTGTTGGCTATGGATTTGAGCCAGCTTCTGAATTTACACTCCCCACTATCAAATTGGAGCCAGAAATGACTGTACAATCACCTGAAATATGGAATTTACCGGAGTTTGTGGCGCCGCCGGAGACGGCGGCGGAGGTGAAACTGGAACCACCGGCGCCGCCAAAGGCAAAGCATTATAGGGGAGTGAGAGTGAGGCCGTGGGGGAAGTTTGCAGCGGAAATTAGGGATCCGGCGAAGAATGGGGCAAGGGTGTGGCTGGGTACATATGAGACGGCGGAGGACGCAGCGTTTGCTTATGACAAGGCGGCGTTTCGCATGCGGGGGTCACGTGCATTGCTTAATTTCCCGTTAAGGATTAATTCTGGTGAACCTGATCCCATTAGAGTTGGTTCTAAAAGATCATCAATGTCGCCGCAGTATTCTTCTTCTTCATCGTCGTCGTCGCCGCCGATGAAGAGGGGGAAGAAGGTTGCTCAAGAGACGGAGCTAGTGGCGCTATAAGTCCTAAGTGGGTCCTGTATAGTAATAATTAAAAAAAAAAAAAAGAATTAACGATGGATTTGTTTCATTTTTGGCTGACGTAATAGATTTGTTCTTTCTTTAATTTATTGGCTATGGTTGAATGATTCATCTATGGGAATTAACGATAGTCTAAGCCAATTACCCAGAAAAAAATAATTATATTGTGTACTGAGAAAATTAAAAAAGAAAAAGCCAAGCTTACTTGTTCCATCTAACTAATCGAATGTACATATTTGTTTCCTTAAATCATATTCCTCATTTTGACATTGTAAAATTTAGTTTTCAGTAAGAAAAACTGAATTAGCAATATATTCTCTTATCATAATTAATACAATATTAATGCATATATTAGAGTACTATTTTTTCATACGTGATAAAATGTGAAATAACAATTAAACGATCTTGACATAATTATTATTATATTATTATCCATCGTACAACAATCCAAACATTGTGAGTTACATCGTAATTCTTGTATAACTAGACCATAAATCAGACAACACTTGAGTAGGGGTGTTCATAAAAACCCGAAAAACTGAACCAAACCGAAAATCAAATCAAACCGACTAAAAAAAACGATACTTTTTGGTTTGGTTTGGTTTTGGTTTTGAATTTTAAAATCGATCAAATTTGGTTTGGTTTTGGTTTTAATCAGAAAAAAAAACCGAACCAAACCGACTATAGGAGTAGCTATTTCAATTTATTATTACACCTATATATATGTATATGCTATACAAAGTTTCAAAAATTTTATAATAAATGTTAATAGTTTGCCCTTTTAATATAGTTCTTTACCTTTACATTATAGTTTGATTGGTAGTTTTCTTTTGTTTAGTGTAAGAATCCATTTCGTATTAAAAATAACATATTTTTAATTGAGTCCTTAAATTATTCATCACTATTTGATTCAATTATCATCAATATATCTTGGTAAATAATAGATTTCTCAAAGGGCAATTGATTTGATAGTGTTAAATTGAAAATGTGCGCCGGAATATGAGTTTGGTAATGTATGTCTTATATTTAAGAAAAAACCGATAAATAACCGAAAAACCGACATAAATCGAATCGAGAAAAACCGACTTAATTGGTTTGATTTGGTTCTAATATTTGAAAAACTGACTTACTTGGTTTGATTTCTTTTCAGGGAAAAATCGATCCAAACCAAACCATGAACCCCCTACTCTTGAGGTTGTTTTTTCGTGGATCCTGAGGTAATTAATGCTTCAATTTTATGGGTTAGTCCTATTGATTTTCCCTTCTTTGACAGCTACTCCTTCGGTTCATTTTAATTGATTTTTTGGTTATTTTCTCGTATATTATGGAATTCATATTTTAGCATTAATTAACAACGAAATTGACCATATCAATCTTAATTCGTTCAATGAAAATACAACAAATACTCCTAGGTTCTTTACTCCAAGAGTAACTTTTAAAAAAAATAAATTCTTATTAATATCGTAAAATTTTAAATATTGTGATCCTTAAAAAATGTCAAAAAAACAACTAAAGTGGAGCGGGGTGAGTACTTATTTAATAGGGGGAAAAGTGAACAAGTTATTCAAATTAGAACAACGTAGTACAAGAGATTTAATAGGGCGTAATTTTTCAATTACATTTACTAGCAAAACATGTTGAATTTTATTACGCTTGTGTTGAAACTTGAATAAAATATAAGTGGGCGCTTGGACATTAGAATTGTAAAATTCCTAAAAATGTGAAGAAAAAAAATTCAAGTGAAAATGGTATTTGAAAGTTAGAGTTGTGTTTGGACATGAATACAACTTTGGGCTGTTTTTGAATTTTTGTGAGTGATTTGAAGTGAAAATTTTGAAAAACAGTCTTTTGGCATTTTTCAAATTTTTGAAAAATTCTGAAATTCATCTTCAAGTGAAAATTAAAGATTCCATAGCCATACGCTAATTTCCAAAAAAAAAAATTTACATTTTTAAAGAAAACGTAAAAAATTTTGTATGGCCAAACAGACCCTCAATCTCCTCGAATCATATGATATATGAAGTCATAAACCAATTTTGAACAACGGGGGAATGTGAATACTCTCAAATCCAAGAAAGTCCTCACTGAATTTCAGCTTTGTTAATGGTAGGATTGATCACGCCCAACTATGCCTTATAAAAAGGACTCTGCGGATGTTGCAAATATAACCCGAGTATTACGCCCAGGGTCGAATCCACAGAGAGTTAACCTATCAACCGCTATCTTCAGACCCACCAAGTCTTCAGAACCAGCTTCTCAAATATTCAAATTCTCAGTTGAGTGTTCTTTAACAACTAGCTTGCAAGTAACTAAATGGTTGTAACTAAATTAATAAGGTTGTAAACAATTATGGGACAAAGCTAAGGCAATGATTTCCCCTATTGATGGAATCCCTTCTGTTTATGCTCATACAAATTTACCCACACATCTCTATCACTCATGAACGCTAATCTTACCGCAAATCTCTCCCGAGTAATCACAGTAATCTACTATTGCACTCTCCCGAGATACACTAGCTTGCTTTATTTAGCACACTTCAATTTAGATTGCACCCAAGGCTTCGTTATTCCTAATCCCGCCTTTAAACCCGCAATTATAGATTCCTCTAATAATCTAGGAGTGGTGTTGTTCAACAATACCCTAAATATGCACTCTTTTCCAAGTTATGCACACTAAATAGGCACAGCTAATTGAGGATCCTGTCAATTAACTACAACGAACACGAAGTTGAACAAATAAAGATTAAACTAGCAATTTGTATTCACATAAACAAGAAGTTCATCACCCAATAGGTTCCATCAAAGCCTTAGACAAGGAATTTAGCTACTCATG